TACAAGAGCATCGCTGCTACGCAGGCATCACCAGTCCTTTTTATCGTTAATGATTTTGAGATTTAACGTATCTGTAAAGTATACTTAAATAATCGAATGCGTTTTCTTACAATTGCCTGACTATTGCGTTTTATTATTAAGTTTCATTCCAAAGTAAATTTTTCAATTCATGTCCTATCTTTTTTGGTGAAAGAAATAATGAAATAAATAAATAATAATAATTAACACTTTTTAGTTAACAACATTACAGATAGATGGCAGTACTATATATTTTGCTTCTTTTTTTCTTCTCCTTTTTTTTTAACATGAGAATTTTTTTATTATTAATTTTGGTACTTTAGACTAAAATATAGCCCATAATAAGAAAATTTTTAGCAAATTTAAAAATTTTCAGTGATAATTAAAATTATGTTTTAAATTGTATAAACTTTGGAAGTAAAATATATACTTGTCAATTTCTCCCATTTAAATGAAAGCTTAGTTTTTAATATTTAAGATTCTCGTAAGTCTTACAATTCTCTATATTAATTTTGGTTTAAAAAATTTAGTTTACAATGATTTTGACTACCGTCATGTATGTAATCAATCGAATAAATATAAGACCTGCTACTCAAATTATAAAGTTTTCAAGTGCTGGCAAAATGAAACAAATTGAAATTATTTTAATTGTTATTCCCCCATAATGAACAAAAGGCATTGTAAGGAGTGCTACAAAGGCTACTAAATGATGGTGAAGATGACCCACCTAACACGCTCAAAATGTTTCCCCCACAGAGGCTATAGGGTTATACTTTTTAAGAGTATGTTCTGAATGCAAAGTCATAAACTTCATCCGATCTAATAATTTAAAATTAATTACATTATTTATATTGTAATTAACTAATTGTAATTATTTAAATTATTTCTGTTGTTTATGACTATGATTTAACTATTACATTCACAGCACCAAATTAGTTAAGAAAAAATGATTTATCAATCAAAAACAAATTAAAAAGAAAAAAGTTCAAAGTGCAGCATTAAGTTATAATTCATGGAAATGTATGGTTTTCAAAACAACCTTTATATAAAGTGATAAATATAGAATTATTTTATTTCATTTTTGATAAATTGCCTGAAATTAAATAATTTAAACTTAAATCAAGAATAAATTTTTGAAATTTTACGATAATAACTTTCAAAAAAGCACGTGCTTTCCTCTACTAATCAATATTATAATCAGCTTGCTATAAATAATTTGCAAATAAAAGGCGATAAAGGATAATCCTCTGGCACCCCTCTCCAAGCTTCATCTTAGTTCTTCACCCCTCCGATTTTGACAGTTGAAGATTGATTAAGAATTACGCCCACTGAAGAGGGGGAGAATTCGTGTGACGAAGGAGCACAAACGCGATTTATCCTAGTTTGCAGTTTTTTATTAATTGTTAGCATTAATTCTTTCTGAAACACTTATTATGTATAGTAATTTTTTTTCGCTCTGTTAAATTTTGATAAAAAATAAAATAACAAATAAAAGTTCTATGAAGAGTGAGTACCAAGAAAAGAGGTTCTCATTAACTCTAAAACTCTGATCCCTTACTCCCCTCTACAAAACTATTCTACGTTACTATGAGGAGCCATCGTTTTCGAATGTAATTTAAAATCAGTTAGTCGTTGCATATGACAGGTTCAGACCGATAAACTATTCCATGATTTAGATAATAGATATAATTTTTAACTGGAAAGAAGTTTGTTCTAACTGTCTTTAAATGATTAAAATGTTACAAAACATTAAAAATTTTGCAGCTGTACTGAAAGTTGTTAATATTGCAAGGATATATAGCTTGAAAAGGAAGTTTTGTTTTTTCATTTACTTCAGTAGACATATAATGGCAGCGGTTTCCTGAAAAATTTGCATTTCAATCTATTGGGATTAAGACATTTGTTATGACGTTTTATTTCTTTATTGTTTCTTTATCTATTTTTTGTCGACCGTCAATGGTGAGCGAATGACATATTTTTGACAAGATAATTTTGGTTGATTGGATTGAATTAAATAGTGTTTAAGAACGAAAAAAAAAGAATGACATATCGAGCATAAGCATATGAAAATATTTTAAAATTAAATGAGGTTAATTCTTAATTTTTTTATCAAGTGATATATTTTGCATTACGAAATTTGCATACACTAGTGAATATTATATCAGTAATGCTTTAAGAAAAAAAAAAAACTAGTGCTGTAACGTAAAATTTAGGATGAATGCTTTTCCTCTTGATGCTCCTTTAATCTAGACAAAAAAAATTATAATAATAAAAATTTTTAAAACAATTTGTAAACGATGCACAGACTCTTCCTTTCAAATAACCAGATGTGCTAACAACAAGGTTCTATTGCTGATTCTCAGAAAAGGGGAACAAGACAAGGAGGATCCTTTGGCCAAGGGCGGAACACTATGGTTTAGCTGATGTAGACGTACAGGCCAAAGGGCACAGAAACATTTCTGAAGGTCATGGTTAAAAGAGAGCTGCGTATTACACATGCCTTAAATAGGAATGATATCAAAAACAATTATTATTATTATTATTACAATTGCTATGCATCACATCAATTTTCAATCACCAATAAAATATAAAAGTTAGTTGCGATTTCGAGCCATTTTTTTTTACATATAACCACTTCAAGAAATAACTTTTATTCAAAAAATTGGATAAAGAATCCCTCCATTTTCTATTTACTATTTTTAAATAATTTTTTACACACAACTATTTAAAGAAGACTTTTATTTTATTCGGAAGATGAGATAGATAATTTCTTTATTTTCAGTTCAATATTTTTTGAAATAATTTTATTTTGCAAACTTTTTATCTTGAACTCCGGCATTTGTTATCAATATTGCTGAATAAACACATAATCAGGTGAGAATTACTAATAAGTAATTAAAAAGGTAACGGAGGCAAAAGCTCGGAAAAAAAGTTACATGAAAGAAAAGACCTTTATTATTGGACGCCGAGCCCGCTATCACTCACTGAACACCGGTACAATTTCAACATCACAACAGTTCTTATGAGGTCGCTTCATGATGTGAGCTGGCTCCGATCTCACAGTTTGCCTTAATTTTATTAAATACCCCACTTTTATGCTTAAAAATATTTTATGCTTTATTTTAAACATATTAAAAGGTACACAATCCTGTTCAAATCGCTATCACTCACCAATCTCAGAAATTCTTTTGGCAGTGAATTTCAGACTAATTCGCTGACTCATTTAATCTACCTCACATACCATGAGGTTAGTCACCGATAAAGTGGTCAAAGAATGAACAATAATCAAAATATTGGCGTGGATGATATTTGTTCCTTCCGTCCTAAAACCTGTAAATTTCCTTAAAAATTTAGCTCTGTAAATCTGAATGTAACAGTTGTCTAAAGACGGCATACGAAAACTCTTTGAAGATGGAGGCACTTTCTTCTTTTGATATTTTAATTTTCTGGAAATTTTGAATTTTATTTTTCTGGAAACCGAGGGAGGTTTTCGTGGTTTTCCTCGCCATGCATATTTGGTTTAGTTCCATCAAAAACTTGATAACAGTAGATCAAATGGTTAATCTTTAAATATAGCTGTGAATATAGTCATTTTAATCATAGACCTTTTATCTTTACTAAAAAATTTTTTTTCTTAAATATCAAGGAAAAAATAGCTACCATACTTCTATCTCCCTCGATAGGTAGAACTACCAGGACTGTGTCTAAATATACATTTAAAGTTGACACTTAAAGTTTTTTAAAAAAAAAAAAAAATAATTTAAAATATTTATCAAATCAACCAAAATAAATAATAATTTTCAAACGTATTGAAGCGTATTCAAAATTTCCTTCTTAATGTAGTGAAAAGTTCACTTACGAATTAGTATTTTGAGTTATGTATGTGTCAATATTTATTCCCTAATATGGCTTGGATAATAAATAATTTAAAATAAATGTCTACTTAACAAGATACCAAGATCATCCACTAGACCTGTGTAGTAGAGCTAGTGTGTGCGAAAACAACATTTAAAATAAGATTATGGAAAAAAAAAACTTGACACCTTTTTATGTTCAGATATTAACCAGAATTTAATAATGCGTCCAAGTCATTGGTAAGAAAATGCCCCATGAGTCAAAAATTTTATTTAGTAAGCGCTTTTGACAAATTTGCATTAAATGTCTATCCTAGCTACCTTTCATCTAACGTAATTAATTTATTCATAAATTATTTTATATTTTCTCTGTTTAAAATCTCATAAAAATAACGAATGGTTTTTCAATTATTAAAATAATTATTAAAGAAATTCTTTTAGTATGAGCGGGAAAAATATTTTTTTTTAGGATGGGTGATTGAATTGCTACACGCTGGACATTTGGACATTACAATCTCACCTTGAACTTGTTATGCACCTTAAACTTTTCTTTTATATAAATATGAATAAACCAATTACTTTTCTTTGATGCCGAAAATAATTCTTAACAAGTAAACTTTTACTTACTGTAGGTTTATACATNCCGTCATCGTTCATAGCGCTCCATGCCTCTTCCACTCATATACCACATACGCACACACTTACAATAAATAAGATATATTTTCATACTATAGAAATAATTCATGTGGCGGAACAACGTTTGCCGGGTCAGCTAGTATATATATATAAATATGCGTGTATGTATATATATGTGTGTGTATGTATATATATAATACTTTTATCACGAAAAGATAAATATTTTAGGTATTTAATAAAAACGAGAAAATGCTGTTCATAATTCTCGAAAGTGACTAACAAAATTTTCCTCTAAAAATTTGGTTGCGGACTTACGAATTTATTTTAATGGATTTACTAATTACATATCAAAAAAGAAAATATTTTAAAAAAAATTTAAATTATGAGTTTAATGTTGGAAGAAATGTGAAAAAAAGTTCAAAATTAAACAAAAACACCTTGGAAGGAGACCCCTCCTCCTAAACGGGGTTTTAAAAATATACCAAACAGGAAGACGTTCAAATGTGTGGTCCATTTGTGAACTGGCGTTGTTCAGTCTCGGCTGTAGCAAAGGGCTAATGTATTTCAGAAGAAAGAGTGAGATGCCCTGAAAAATTCTCGTCAAGGAACTTCATGGAAGAGAGTTTATTTCGGGTAAGTAATTTCAAATGCTTCTGAATTAAAAATTGTATGAAATGTTAAAATTTCTAAAATGTATGCTATTTAAAAAAATTATTTTCCTTACTATTTTACTTAAAAATTTTATAATTGCTTTGCATGCTCATGTATAAACTGCACAACAATGCTAGAATGTTTTAAAATATACTATGAGTTTAATTCTGATTGAGAAATATTGTATACTTTAATGTTATAAGATATACTGTCATTTAATTTAAAGGAATTTCAATTAATTACATCAATCATTTCCAAAACATTGTTGAAATTAAGCGTTTGATTTCTTAATTGATTGATTAACTTTTATTTTATTTAATCCTCTCAAAATTGTATTGATAAACCGTTTTAAAAAAGATAACAATGAATAAGATAAGACAAACCATTCTTTTAAGAACAAATGATTGTCATTCAAATTTGAAACTAAGAGAAAAAAGCCTTGCATTTTGAATTAAGACTTATCTTCCTTTTATTGGATCATTTTTGTTTACTTTACTTAAAAATGATATTGGTTCGCCATTTTAAAACTTGAAATAATAAATTTGGTAATTAAAACTAAGATTTTTCCCTTTCGAAGCAATTACATTATTTTTGAAAGAAAAATAGATTGTTATTGCTGCAAAGCCATAAGACTGTAATGTTTGTAAATGTTTATAATGTACTATGTATATAAACATGGCCAATACTGAAATACAATGTCTTATATTTGCTTAAAATGAATTTAACATTCACTATAGTACGGTGCTAAGATAATATTGATGATTGTAGCTATCATAAACAATTGTTTTTAAAAGGAAAATGCTCAATTTGAAGCACAAATTTAATTCTTCATGTTTGAAATGATGTATTAATATAATTTCATGAATCTAAGTTTTTTTAAAAGAAAATGTATATTTTAAGTGCCCAAATTTATTTTTTTTCCTATTTAAAATGGTTTATCATTAAAATTTAATCAATCTAATTATTGGTTTAATTATCCAAATTTGTTTTAATATTAATAATGATGTAACAAAATTCTATACTGAAAATTAAAGACAATACCTAAATCTAAGTAAATTATTTTATTTATTAAAATTGTTACTGGTTTATTTAAAATTTAAGGGCCTGTCAAATAATAACTCAAAGTATTATGAGTAATAATTTTATGACATTGCATCTTTCAATAGTGTAACTGTTTTGAAAAGGAAAAGACTTTTAACTGGACAAACATATTTTTTCATGTTTAAAACAGCTTACCATTACAGTATACAATTGTAAAATTGTAGAGTAAATTAAAATATTAAAGAAAAAAAGTCTCAATTCTAAATAAAAATAAGTTTAAAAGAGAAAAAAAAAACCTTTAATATGTAATGGTACTATAATATTATCTTATAATAATAACTTTTCAGCAATCTATTCTTTTTCAATAGGAAAAGGCTTAATTTAAATGTGAGAATGTAATTTTGAAAAAAAGCAAAAAAATGTAGCTTTCTAATCAATTTTTAAAAGGTAAATAAATACAATTAATCAAATATTAGGAGATTATAAGACTTATTCAAAATGCAATGCTTTATTTAAATTAGTTGTGGATATGACATTTATTTATATCTTTTTTTTTTACCTTATCTTATTATGTTTAACCTTATTTAACCTTATGATGTTTTATTTTATGTTTAACTATTTAAAATAATTTATCAATTGAATTTTTAGAAGGTAAAATTTTTTTTTGAACACAGTTTTTTTTTAATTTTTTTTATGCTTAATATACAATACTTATTGAGTAATGGATGAACTCTATGCATTAAAAATATAAAATTACCCTCACATTCTTGTTCATAAAAATTATTTCTACCTATTTTTTGAAAATAATTAACACAAGATTGCCCTAGGAAATCATTTTTACTGCTTTTAATTTCAATTAGAAAAACAACGATTTGTATAATGACACCATTTCTTAGAATTTTGTGCAATATTTAATTTTTTATTGTTCATATTTACTAATAACTGGTTATATAACTGTAAATAATATAAAAAATATTAAAAATAAATTTTAAATAAATTTTACTTATTCTTTTACCATCCAGTCATTTTGACTGCTTTTGGGCAATATAGGTGTATACTAAGTTTCAGTCTTTCTAGTGTTAAATATGATAGCACGTATGAAAATTAAAATTCGAAATCAAAGGCAAAATAATACACTTATTGAAAGCTAAAATTGAGTTGCCGTATCCCATCTTTGTTCTTACGGCTTAGCATTAGTATACAGTAAAACCTCTCGGGAGTGAACAATCTCTGTAAAATGGTTATTAATGGTCATTCTTGAGCTTACCTCTATTGATTATGATTGAGTAAATGTTATGGAAGGTGGACGATTTTCTGCAAGAGATTTTATTCAATGTTATTTTCTTGATACGGAAATACCACTTGTGAATAAAAATTTAGTCTTAATAAGAATCACCATTACTGTTAAAATAAATTTACTAATTATGAATAATGGAACTATTTTAAATAAATAAGAGATTAATTTTTTTGTTTGAGTTTGCATTTAACTTTATATCACAAAAATTAGTTAGCTTTTAAATATGAGAAGAGGTTTGTTTGTTTGAGATTCTTAGTTTTTTAGAATTTTTTTTTTAAATTTAAGTCTTAGCTCTTAAAGTAAATAAATGATAGCATTGTCTTTAGACTGCACCATGAGGTTATCTCTTGTAGAGATCGGAAAAAAGAGCGCTCTAAATAAGAGCCACTTACAAATAATTTTAATACATTTAAATCTACTTATTTGTTTTGTTAAGATTCATTTTGTTGATAGTTTTTTCGTTTTCCCCTCTTTGACCTTATTACAGAGGTTTGGGGTAGGTTTTTGATGGTCTCGTTTAAAGGTTTTCTTTATTGTAAAGTCTATAGAAAAAATTCCGTGCTTTCCAAAAGTGGTCGCAAATAAAAGAGGTGGTCTTTCTCGGTGGTTTCGCTGTATTTAAAAAATTAATTGTTTAGTTAAATTTATTTAATTTACCCTTTGAATATTAGATTTTTTGCTACATTTATTAATGCTACTTATTTAATAGATAGGATATAAACTTGAATTTCTTTTATATCCATTTGTAGGTATATTGAGGGCAACACAGTGCGGGATTTTTAAACACCGTGTAAGTAACTGATTATAATATTCGTTACAACTTTTTCTTTTCTTTATTTTTATGTATTTAATTATTTTAACTTTTACCAATATTTATCTTAACTTTTATCAACTTTACCTTTCAAAATTAAAGTTAATGATTTCATATATAAGGTGTATAATTAGTCGTATGACTAGTTTTGGACAGGTGACTTGTATTAGTAAATGTTAAGAAAATGTTGTCTTGTATACATTGTTTTAATACATACATCCTAAATTAGAAATATGTTCTTTTTGTACTCTTAAGAGTCTGTAAAAAGGGATTTATAAGAAAAATTATAAAAAGAAACCCGAAAATTTACCCCTAAAAAAAACTTAAGAATTAACATTACGCAGAAGTTCTATACTGTCAAAAGTATAAAATAAAACGAAAAAAAACTGCTATATCTCCTAAATATTGATATTTCTTACAAATTTTCTGTAATAGATTATTTTCCTACTTAGCTTTTGCCTCATGAAGGAAAACAGTTCATTGTTGTTTGTTCACTATGGTTGAATTCTTTATTTATAAATATATATATATANTAAGCGCAATAAATGAAACTTATTGTTTTTCTTAACTTTCTTCGTGTTTTCTTATATATATATATATATATATAATTTTTATTAATATAATCTTTTTCAGTTTTAGTAATTTTTCTTAACTAAGATGATTGAAGAATCAATTTTCATTTCGAAATGTTACATTTATTTAAATTTGTAATGAGCTTTGAATTAAAATTTGTATAGATTTATTGCTTTTTTGTTTGTTTGTTTTTTTTAAAAAATTTTTTTAATATTAAGTCAATGAATGATAGCATAATTGTTTGCAGCTATATTGACACAAAATAATGAGTTCTGATATTGTGAAACTGTTTTACGTTTTTCTTTATTTAATGAAATTATTTTAATAAGTTTAGTGTACTATTATTAAAATTAGTAAGTTTAGCAATGTTAATTTCAGCTATAACACTTCTTAACGATTGGAGGATTGGAACGAGGAATTCAACAGATAGCTGTCGCAGAATTTTGAGCAACCTCTTTCTTCAAAATCTCAATTTGGACCCCATGACCCCCTCCCCATGACAAATCAATCCTAGAATATCCAAGGATCATACAATTAATTGCAGGTAATATTTTATGTTATAAATTTTACAGATGTAGTGCATGTTATGTTATAAATTTAAGTAGAACCCTATTTTATATTACCTATTATCTTAACATTTTTCTATTACTAGATTAAAAAATTAATATTTCTTGTTTCAAGAGCTTAATTTGGGGAAATAAAATGAAATGTCATTATTTGGAAAGTTGTTAAATAAGGTAGCTGTCATAAAATAATTTGCAAAGGGAAATATATACCAATATGAAAGTTGAGTGAAATAAAAGTTTTTATGATTTTGTTTTTTAATTTCTATAATATTACTCGAGTGCATGTTATCATTATGTATGTCCATAGAAATTGAAAAGTTTTAAAAATTATTCCTTAATTTTGATAATTTTTATTTAAAAGAAAAAAATCTCAGCAAATTTATATTTATGTTCAAAAAAGTTTTTAATGTTTAAGTTATACGTGTGTACATTCTAACGCCCAAATAATAATATAAAATAGTGATCATAAATTGAAATTGAAGATTTTCCTCAAATCTGAGGCATTAAAATTTTTTACTTATTTTTGCTATACTTTAAAAAAAAGAATCATGTTTATGGCAGCTCCATCTCGTAGACAGATATTGTGAAAATTTAAATATTTGAGTCAAAGAGGTCTTATTTGCTTTTTTCACACAAAGAACAGAGGAGCTACCTGCGTTACCGGGGGGCGTATTGACAAACCATACCGTAGATTATAAACGTGGCGATTGCATGTGGAATTGGCGATGGATTACGCGTAAATGTGGTGGGAGAACGAAATTACATTAACCTAAACAGTGTAATTCGATATTCTTTTTCTCTCCCCCCCCCCTCCTTGACTACCCATGATGAATAAAAATAACTCATTAATTCTTTTTAGAAGAGAATTAAAAAAGAAAATGACCTTTTTACTGTCAGGATCACTTTAAAAATACACTGTATTCATATTTTATTGAACGCGCCTAATTTATATTTTATAAAACGATCTAGTTTTTTGATATAACAGATTCAATTTTTTAATTTTTTTTAGAAGAATTGTGCTGGCAATTCGCAAGAATTGTGTTTGCGAAGAAATAAAAATAATTTATTTCCTAATGAACCAATCACAAAAAATAACGTAACATTTTAAAACTATGTTTTATTGAAACGCTATTTTGAACAATTAATTCTATTTAACTTTTATTGTAAGAAAACATAAACTGTTTTATTTTAGTGATATTCTCTATTAAATCAATATTCTCCATAAAAGAATAATGTGAGCTTTTTTACAAAGATTATTTATTTTAGAAATTAACAAAGACATATTATTTACTAGAAAAAAATGGAGTATTCAAAATATCTCATCACGCTTTAAAGTAATAGTTTCTTGTAAACTAAATAAACAATATTTTTAAAATAAAGTTTGAAAGCGTTTGTTTCATTACTAAAAGCATTCGTTATAAAAAACATTATATTAAATTACTTTGTTTGCATAATTTTATTAAAAAACTTTTTTTTGCAATGAGATGAGATCTTAAGCTTTGTGAAAAATTGATTCAATTCCATAATCTATATAAAAGTCGGTAAATACATCATTCATTATGGAGGTCATAGATAACTTGATACTTTTTCAATATAAGAATAATAAATGCAATTAATAGAAAATGCACAATTTTAAAAATATATTTTATTTACATATATTGCGTACAGGTTATTCTGCAACTATCATACGTAACATAAATTTATAGATTCCTAAATACTGTTATATGAGTTTGGTAATTAAAAATATAATTAAAAAATAACATAATTAAAAAATAACATAATTAAAAAAAATTTCAACCTTCAATTAAAAACTTCCTGTTGTCATATATTAATAATAATTATAATTTTTAGCAACTTTTTTGGGCACAAATTTTTAATTCTCGAACTTAATACTATCCTTTATATGAAAATATCAGAAAATTTATAAAAGAAAAACTATATTTTAAAATTGAGACATTGGCGACAACAGAGGTTAGATGTA